CATGTGAAAGTACAATATTACGCCTTTGTAGGTTTATTTATTTTTTTCCTTTATTAATTGTTTTTATTTATATTTCTTTATGTTCATGAACGTACTTCACATTCTCCCTGTTATGCAAAATAATTTTAGAGTAATAAGTAGTAATTTTTTTAAGAGCAGCATTTGAAGTTGGAATTGTAAGAGCGGCAACGTCTTCAATATATTGGCTTTATGAATATTAAATATTTTTAATACTTATATTAGGGGAAGAAAGTCGCATGTGGCTCACTCAAAAATTAATTCTAGATTTTTTAAAATTTTTTTAAACATGATGGAACTAGCGACTCGAGTTCATTACATGAGAAGATCACGCAGAAGTATACTTAGCTATTGGGCTACAGCAACCTGTTGACTTATGTAGTTAGTGAAGCTCTATTATTACTATATTTTTAAAGCAACATTAAACAAACATTTAAAAATAAAATAAAATAATTTAAATAATTATTTTTATTTTATTTTATATTTTTGGACCGACCATAATCAGTCAAGCGTTTCAAAGTATAGATACATAATGTTACTAAAGGAATTTTCACAGCATAACTATGCCAAAAAACACATATTTTACTGTTAGCTTACCTTGATTTTCGGCAAGAATTTTGTGAATTCCAATTATTATGTGAAAGTTTCTTCATGCATTTTCCCAGCTGATTTCTAATTAATTATGCTTAAAGATGTGCGTAATGCCTGATTTGGCCGCCAGGGGGCGACATCAGCAGATGCAATGCCATCATTACAAAAGTGATTAAGTGCGCATTCCACAAGTTTTATGCTTAATTATTGCCATCGAAATGCAGCTGGGAAAACGAGACATGAGAAATACAACAATATGCACAATTGAATGTAGTTGAAGGGGAGAGAAAGAGAGTGAGAGTGTGAGAGCCAATTATCGTTGTAAAATATGCATTCAACTGCAGCTGCTTATGGCATCAGCAAAATTGAAACTTTTACCCATTTGTACCGAATCTCACACAATATCGACTATTGTCAATGTCAGTGTGTTTTTTTAGTTGCTTTTTCCATATTTGTTTACGTTTCTCTTTTAAAACATAAAGGTCAGGCAAGAGCAAATGTTAAATTTGCATCATTTCCGGCGGAAGTAGAGGACGAGATTGTAGTCCAATCGCAGCGAATCAATTGGGATTGTGGGCAAAGAGAGAGAGCGAGTTAATATTAACTGTTTAAGCATTAGCTATAGAGAGATGTGTGAAGAGAGAGAGTGACGGGGAGAGAGAGTGAAAGAGAGTAGACAAAGCTAAATCTGACTAGAATGTGACTGATGCGGTTGCTGTTCACACAATCTGAGGCGGTCTTCGTGAACTCTTTGTCAGGCATTGATGCATTCACTGTTAGAGAGTTTGTCACGCGCTAACATTGAAAAGTGAAAAATCATGGGTGCAGCAGCATCCAGGGAAATATGACAAGTAAAGAGATTCGCATGATAAATGACGCATAAAGCGACACAAAGCCGGCAACAAAGGCGAACAGCAGAAACAAATGTATGTGGCAGCCAAAGATGAAAGACCCGAACTCAAACCCAAACCCAAGCCCAAATGCCAAGAGATGCAGAGCATAAGACACACGATGATGATGCCGATGCTGAGGCTGATGATGGCGCACGTAGTCGCGAATGAAGATTTATGAGCATCCATAAGGCATTCGACACATGCATACATACATAATCTCATATATATATATATATATATATATATATAGTTTGCTTTTAGCTAGTTTACAACTCATTAGAAGTCGCTTCATTTAGCCAAGGCATGAGTTGCTAGAGCTGGCATAATTGCAATAGTTAGTCGTATGCAACTCTTCAGCTTTCAACTTGTAAGTGGCATTACTCATACGCCACGTTGCGCTGCAAGCTTTACACAAACTAACGACGAAGCTTAAACACTCTTCAACTATATGCATATAAATAAATAAAATACATATATATTTGAAATCTGTCATAAATTTGTTGTGAAAAACTTCTTCAGCATATGTTCGGCAATTGAACAAAATTTTAGTTAAACACGGATTCAGTCGACTTAACTATTTTCTGTAATTAAGAACATACGTGTATACCCTGTAGTTGTATAAAAAACGTGACAAAATTAAAATGTCTTTTGCAGACGCACGAACAATATTTTGTTTCCCTTTTTATTGTTTCGAATTCTGTGAACTACAGCTTTGGGGCTTTAAAGCGTATAAAAAATATTCTTGTCTATGATAACAAAAAATTTAAATCAAACACAACAAAGCCCCACAGAAAAAGTGCAACAAAGGGAAAAAGGTTCAAATTATGTAATTGAATTTTTCTGTTAGGGGCTTTTTAATTCCTGTGGAGAGCCGGAAGACCTGCTTGGCCGAATGACAAAAATGGGAGCCGGCAAAAAGGTGCTTGCTAGCAGATGAGCAGGTTAAGCAGGTTGAGCAGGTTGAGCAGGTGCTGCATATCCTTTGTAGCTATAATGGAGTTGTTGAAATAAAATGAGCCGCATTTAGCTGACATAAACGAGCCAAAGCTATGCTGCACATGGTTGGGCTCATTATCATTGAACAGGGCCGTCATTAGGGCAGGTTACGTTTAATGTCCTGGTTAGCCCCTGCCTCAGCTAATTAATAGCACAAGCGAAGAACAAGAAAAACGCTAAGCGAGTGCCGAAAATCAAAATGAGTTGCCATCAATGTTATCTGTCGACGAAAGCCAATAAAATGCTAAAGCTGAATGCTCTGCAATGCGCTAAATATTGCTCCATTATGGAGCTTAACAAGTTTTTAAATTTGCTTAAATACTTAAGAGCGCTCTTGCTAGGGCTGCAGCAGCAGCTGAAATGAAATGAAGAAACAGCAAAAAAAAAATTAAAATCCCCAACACAGTCGGTGGGGCGAAGCTCAGTTGAGTTGCCTTTGAAAAAGTTACCTTAATCCTTAATTTAATCCGAAATGAATTTCATGCTGAGATTTGACTCGATGGCAGGCTCGGTAGCTGCCTGGCATTTCGGCCAAACGGTGGCAATTTTTAACTGAATTAACATTTCGGGGATTTCGCTTCGAAACAAAGCACATAATGGAATTTTGCTGTAAGTGCTAATAGAAAAGGTGAGTGGAGTAGAATAAAAGTCCGGGCTAAATTAATAGAGACAATGAGATCACAGATCATGCGACATCACAACGCTGATACTGATGATGGCTTGCTTAAAAAACAGCTTTTATATATTTTTAAAGCACATTTGAAAAATGTATTTTAAGCTTTTTCTCTATATAAGCTATTTTGTTATTATTAATTATTTTTTTATTAATTATTTTGTATTTTTTTATGAATTATTTTTTTTTATTATGAAGTTCTTAGTTTTCCTATAAATTGCAAAACCTTCGGAATATTTTGATAAGATATCTTGCTGCATTGAAATTCTTAAAGCTCTTCAATGATGCTTTTAAATTCTTTCATATTAAGACAAGCTCGTTTAGTAATGCTTCCCAGACGCTTCATCTTCGCCTCATCTTGATTGGTGCTTTTATTCAATTGTTTTCATAAACTTTAATAGTTTTTATGATTTAGAGCTCTGTTAGTAGGTTCTTCAATATATTCACTCAACTAGACTTATTCAATATCAAGGTCAAATAATTGTCCTTGCTTTAATATGCTTTCCATCATCAGCATATTGTCAATAAGAAATTAATATAATTGGATATGCAAATTAAAGTTTTTTTTGCTAGCCTTTTCCATTTAGGTGACAGCAGCTCGTATAATTGAAGCGCACAATTTTCAGCTGTATTTCAGGCAATTTCCCTGCACATTTATTTATTATATGACCTGTCACATTTACAGTGAGAACGGGAGTAAAAAAACCTTGGCCAACTACATGGATAGGTCGAATCGTAACCTGCAGCGCGTTATTAAATAATATAGCGCTGTAATTTACGCTCGATTGGATGCATCAGCAGGTCGAAAGCTTTGAATTGGCGCCTTTCAATTTTGTGGGCATGGTGAATGCAATTTCAAGCAGTTCAAGCAAAGCAGCTCGGAAAAAACGCAAAGCGATAATGAAAATGTCGAAGCGAGAAAAAATACCTAACAAGCAATCTGACTGTGCGAGGGGACAACACTTGGTTGGCGTGAAAAACGCAGAATCAATTTTGTGTAAAAAATTGTGTAGAAAAAAAGCGCAAGCCTCCATTTCAGTCTGCCTGACTAACTGATACCTCGCACTCAACTTTGCTCTAAACAAAAATAAAGAGGAATTGCATTTGAAATTTCTTTAGAAATTAGAACGATATAAAGTGAAAACTTTTTTATTTATTACGTATTGATGGGCGAGAAGAGCAAGCTCCAATAATATGCTCAGAAATATATGTATATGAAGCCCTTAAGCCAAATCTTTTTTCTATGTGTACATAAGAATTACACAATTTTTTTACCATATTCAGTCATATTCAATGGATGTAAAGCGAAAAAATGCAACCAAATCGAATTTAGTATTGCGCGTGGCTTACATATATACTACTATGATATATGTATATATATACTATATGCTAACGCAGCTGACTTGTAACTTTTTTTCCTTTCTCAGCTTGACCTTTGTAATGATTAAAATTTATTTTAAAGTTAAAAAATTGGTGTCCGAACAATGCGCTTACCATAATATCCATAAAGTATATAAAAATAAAAAGTGAAAGCAAAAAAAAACAAAACACGTTGATTCTGAAAGAATATCCAAACGGAAAACTGTAACGGCAATGCCAATAAAAATAATAATAATGATAATTATAATAATAGAAATAGAAATATAGAAATATAGAAATAATAGATAATAGAAAAATCTTTATGCTCGAGTATATAGATTTAATTTTTCTCAGTTTCTAGAAATAACAAATGCGTGCATTGATTATTTTGTATTGCTTGCTTTATTAAAATAATTTGAAAGTTTTTTATGGGTTATAGCTGAAGATTTGAAAGATATTCATTTTAGGGCTCATTTTGATGGAGTGGTTGGTGTAGTGGTTGGTGTAGTGGTTGGTGTAGTGGTTGGTGTAGAGGTTGTCGTCAAAGCTGTGGCTCCCATGCAAGGAGCATATGCAGTTCCATAATCGGTAAGACCACTAACAGGGGCACAACCTTGTTCAAATTCATTGAAGAAGTAATCCACTGGGCAGGTGCTAACTGCGCCATTGCTGCCATTTGTGCAGTAGTAGTAAGTATTACAGTTCTGGTTGTTTACAGCGTTCACGAATGGTGTTGTGGCATACTGGCAACGATTGCAGCCCTCTCTCGGAACGGCTATTAGGCGAGACTTGCAGCTATTTGATATAGTGTCCCAATACTGGGTACCGGGACAGCTCTTCTGTTCATAGGTTTTACCATTGCAGTAGAGATAATTTCCGCAGATTTTTGGATCGCCAATAAATTCGCCGGAGTCTGTGCAAGTGTCAGATACTGCATTCTCTTGAACTCGATCGCAGGCACCGTTTGTATTATACCCGCAGGCGCCAGCTGATACAATGAAAGCCTGTAAAAAAAAAACGAGTTTAAATATAGCGAGAGATTTGAAGAAGAAGTGGTTTCTTATCGGAAATTGCCGAAACAGAGCCTAAATCGAACAGGTATGCAAATAGATGGAATAAGCCTAGATCGATAACTCAGGATATATATATATATGTGTATTAAGCCATTTCCAATTAGACTTGTATTTAAATATCAACTTACACTCGTTGTGCATGTGCCGCTGCCCAGCGAGCCGTCTGGGTAACAGTAGTTGTATGTCGTGCAATTGCTGACGCTGCCAAAGTAGATATTAGGAGGCACCACCTCGCAGAGGCTGTTTAGACTTGGTCCGCCACTTTCTTCTAATACATTGCAGTCACCGTAAATACATTGCTGTAATGACGCACTGAAGGTCAAATCTCCGCAAGTGCCGCTTCCGCTGGCCACACCATTTTTGCAGTAGATCCATTGATTGCATGTGTTCGGAGCTGGAACCCAAAGGTCGCCGGTGCTGCCCTCGCATGGATCTGCTACTCCATAATAGCACTTTACTTGCGACGAGGGACTGCAGGTCTGTGCCTTGTAGTTGTACGAGTAGCCAGTCTGGCAATAGCTCTGCACGGGACCATTTTGGGTGCACACATAGTAGTAATCACACGACTCAATGCTGCCCAGCTGTGTGCCTACTTTGACCGTCGTACACATCGCGGTCACATTGTAGTTGCCCTCCATGATAGAGCCGAGGCTGCTGCCAAAGGCCAGGCAGAGGATACTTGCCAATAGATACATGCCTGCCAGGAATTTCAATTTCGTTCAATATCAAAGAAGGATCGATCGGCAGCTCGCTCCCATCCACTTACCAGACATCTTATCCAAGAACAAAAGCAAGTGTTGTTATACTGGTTAAAGGTTTAAATGAACACTGACTGAACCTCTGCAGACAACGCTCGCTTTTATAGTCCCAAAATTGGTTTCCATGACGCATGTCTCAAATGTTGAGTACACCAAAAAGAAGTGTCAACAATTTTTTAATTTTATTTAATTCAATTATGTTCAAATCAATTGTTTAACTGCCTTCTAACCAATTTTCAATTAAACTTATCTTTCACTTATCTGCTGCTCAACTAGCAAACTTATCTACCGCACAGTGATAAGGCGACCGTCAAATAGCTTGTTTTTCCACGAATCCATAAGTCAAGTTGATTTCCTTCTCAATTTTCTACTGAATTGAACAAAAGTGTCTCTAAAGAGACGCTTTACATATTTTAGCATAATGCAAGTGGTAGACGAACTGATACAAGGTAAAATGCGGAATTGACAAAGCAAATTGAGCAAAGGGCCATGGCTGATATCTATATAAATAAAACTGTAGAATTCGTTCTTTTATATGTAAGGCATTTGTGTATAGAATATATTTTCTGAGTTTTCTAACTCTGTGTGTTCAACTGAACTTATTCATTGATCAGGGAAAAAAACGTTCAGTGGTTCATAAACGGCGCTATGTGCCTTGTGTCTCATCAATTGCAACTTGTTCAATTGAACTTATTCATTGATCAGTGAACAAAAAAGATCAGTGGCTCATGTTCGATGCTCTTTGCCTAATGTCGCAACAATTGGAACTTGTTCAATTGAACTTATTCATTTTAAGCGGTGCTCTTTGCCTAAAGTCTCATCAATTGGAACGTGTTCAACTGAACTTATTCATTGATCAGGGAAAAAAACGTTCAGTGGTTCATAAACGGCGCTATGTGCCTTGTGTCTCATCAATTGCAACTTGTTCAATTGAACTTATTCATTGATCAGTGAACAAAAAAGATCAGTGGCTCATGTTCGATGCTCTTTGCCAAATGTCGCAACAATTGGAACTTGTTCAATTGAACTTATTCATTTTAAGCGGTGCTCTTTGCCTAAAGTCTCATCAATTGGAACGTGTTCAACTGAACTTATTCTTTGATCAGGGAAAAAAACGTTCATTGGTTCATAAACGGCGCTATGTGCCTTGTGTCTCATCAATTGGAACTTGTTCAATTGAACTTATTCATTGATCAGGGAAAAAAACGTTCAGTGGTTCATAAACGGCGCTATGTGCCTTGTGTCTCATCAATTGCAACTTGTTCAATTGAACTTATTCATTGATCAGTGAACAAAAAAGATCAGTGGCTCATGTTCGATGAACTTATTCATTTTAAGCGGTGCTCTTTGCCTAAAGTCTCATCAATTGGAACGTGTTCAACTGAACTTATTCTTTGATCAGGGAAAAAAACGTTCATTGGTTCATAAACGGCGCTATGTGCCTTGTGTCTCATCAATTGGAACTTGTTCAATTGAACTTATTCATTGATCAGGGAAAAAACGTTCAGTGGTTCATAAACGGCGCTATTTGCCTTGTGTCTCATCAATTGCAACTTGTTCAATTGAACTTATTCATTGATCAGTGATCATAGCAGCTTAATGTTCCATGTGTAAGTCGTTCCTCTATGACTTGCTTTGCTTAACTGTTCTTGAGCGATACGTCTTAAAGAATTGTCCAGTTGTTCAAGAACTATGGATGTCCGAAACGATTTATTCAATTCATCGACTACACGCATCAGGAATGCAGAGAGTTGCGCACTTTTGAGTGAGCTTTAGAGTATCTTTTTGACTTTCATTGCAGGTATGTAATTGAAGGCAACTAAAGTACATAACATAAAACAAATGCTCGAGAAACAGCTGCGAAATGACTGCTGGTGCAGGTGCAGTTGGGAGAATGGCAACTGGGACTCAGTTGTTGCCGCGAAGTTGTACGATGCGGAGCACCAAAGCATGTTTACTGCTGCTGGGATTGCAGTTGCTCATCAGTGGAGTCTGGATGGAGGAGGCAAATGATTGGCCAGATCCGGAGTTGGAGATGGAGCTGCAACGACAGACAGACAAATTGACCTATTGTCGTGCATTGCAGCGCTTGCAGCTGCAGCAATATGAGCAAACCAGCTGCCTGAACATACAAGAAGATGAGCTAACGATGACCGGGGAGCTGTTGATGGACTCGCCACAGCGCTGCTGGTGGGGCTGGGAGCTATTTGGTAGACGTTGCCGCAAGCGTGCCTGAGTGTCTATCGTGTATTAATCCATGCTTAGCCATTACAATGCATTACAATTGTTAACGCAATTGACGCACAAATAAAAACAAATAAAAAATACGAACTAAAAACATTTACTGAGAAAATCAGCTTCAAGCAACGCAGACCTATATAAATATAGATAGACATATTTATGTAGACACTTGACATCTGTTTGACTAAGCCGTACACAGACTTGGATTGGGTCTAACAGCGAACATGGTCGACGGCTTATGGCTTATGATATATAATTGTTCTAGGAACTTAAGAGAGCATATAGAGTTTCAGCTAACCCCAATCAAAAGCCAAACAACGTGGCACCAACAACAACAAATCGATGCCACCTTAAATCTTAACTTGCGTCGATGTCTTGCAAAGCAGTCAAGTGTGTGTGTGTGTGTGTGTTAGTGTGTCTGTGTAAAAGGCATAAACCGAAGGCCAACACAACGCCATTTGCTGTTTATCAAACTTCCGTATGCGAAAAATTGTTCAACAAAAGTCAATCAACATCCGGCGCCATTTTACGTGCTCTTCATCTTTTTGTTTGTGGCCGCTGTGTTTGGTCATTGTTGTTGTTGCTGTTATTACTGCTGTCATCGTGGGCGTTGTTAGTATTGACATTGTGGTAGTTGTTCCATCATTGTTTCCTTTCATGTGTAGTTCGCTGGGGCCATCAACGCCAGCCCTGCCGTCAATCACCTTGCCGCTACAACAGCAATGTCGATGTCGTCCGTTCCCTACAACAGCAGCAATCAGAAATACGTAGCAACTAGCTGGGTGCAAGCAATGCGACACGTGCTTAAGTTGATGCCAATGCTAGCACCTGGCTGAGAAATTGCTGTTTTTAATTAATTGCCGATTGGTGGATGAGCAACAACAATCCTGACGAGACTCACATCGCCCGTCAATCAATCAATCAATCATAACTATTGATAAAAGCTAACATATTCGATGGGAATGGGAATGACAACAAGAAAGTTGAAACTCCGCAAGACTTTAATTATTCATATAAATATACGCTATAGATTTGCCCATCAATCAGTTATAACAATCATAGCTAGATGTCTTTAAATGCAATACACATCGTGTATGATATCATAATGATTGATGTTTGTGACCGTTGATACCATTCGATAACTTCAGTCAGAATGATTGAGACTTTTTGTCATATTCCATTCGAATACAAGCGACAACAATCAAGAGCAATCATTAATGTCAATCATAATGACTGATGCTTGCTTTTATTTATCATTTATTAACTTCAGTCATAAAGATTATGTTTTTCAATCAATCAAGCTCAATTATTACCATCAATCACAATGCTTGTTACTTGTTTTCAGATATCAATCATTAACATCAATCATTTTGATTGATATTTTTTATCATATTGATCAAATAAGATCAATCATTAATATCAATCGTAATGATTGATACTTATAGCATTGGTTAAAATTTTCTATCAATCAAGATCAATCATCAATCTCAATCATAGTGCTTGCTTTCATAGCAATAAAGATTAAGGTTTTCAATCAATCAATATCCATTATTACCATCAATCATAATGCTTAATACTTGCTTTCATTTATCAATCATTGACATCAGTCATAGTGATTGATAGCATATTCAATTCGAATACGAACGACAGTACAGATCAATCATCAGTAAATGCCCTTCTAATAACTACTTACGAAATTAGATGTAGTCTAGCCAGCACTGTGTGTCTGCTTATTTTCGATTCAGTGTTGCACAACGCAGTAAACAACGAAGATTGAGAAAAAACATTTGTCAAGTTTCCCAGTGAATATTTTCCCAATTATTGCAAACAGGAATGATATTGAATTGCTTGGCTGAACTGAGCTGAGCTGAGCTGCTCAATGCATGCAGTCAGCAAAATAATTCGAGCGTTAAACAAGCATTCGAAATTAAATCTACAGCAGCCGCATGCCCAAAATAGTTCGCCCGAAATGTTGCAAAGCTGCAAGACCCAAAAAAAAAAAAAACAACTGGTTTAAGAATAAGTTTAGCCCGCAAACTTTGCGAGATGGGCGAACAGACAGACGGACGCACGGGTGGAAAAAAGGAAAACGAATACCGATGGCCCAAACAAAGTAGCGACGAACAGGGGCACAGGTGCTACCGCGCTGAAAGACGCAGGACAGACACAGGTGCGTCCCCTAAAACATTTGATGCAACATTATCTGCAGTGACATCCGCTTTTGGCTGTGCAAAGTTTATGCAGTTAGCCAGGCTTTGGCTGCAGCTTTTGTTCCCGTCCTCCGCTCCCGTTCCTAACGAAGCAGAACGGCGAACAGTTACGCAAAATTGCCAACGACTGCGCATTGTTACGCGCCACGTGGCCCAACAAAGTTGCCCGGTGTTCCAACTCTTTGCCATTGCTCCATCATCTCCCTTCGTAACGCGACTGCAGCATCCATCGTGGCTGTGCAGACGAAACTTTTATTGGCCAAAGTGCAGTCGCTGGCAACGCTGCGCTGCTTAAAACTTGACCCACAAAACTTGCCTCAGCTATTAGAAAAAGAAAAAAAACTTTACCAATAAGCATGCGTTAGATAGCTCAAAGGATGAACACTTCTGTCAATCGACTCAGCGCTTCAGATGGTTCGGATAGCCAGTTAGACGGTGTCAACATCATAAGCACTCAGCCAGCTATCGATTTACGAGCACTAAAAAATTGGAATCACCAACTCAAGATAATTACGCTTGGGCTTCCAACAGCGAACACGATAAACCACAAAAAAATGAGTAGCAGCAGAAAAAATCAAACGATATTTTAATAGTCTCGGCAAGTTTTCTAAATATGTAACCACTAAGTAGTTTTATCTTCAGCTGAACGATAAAACTATTACATCGAAGTTTTACTAACTAAAAGATAAGTCTGAGTGGCAAAAGACAGCCAGAGTCAATGATAAGACACTGCCATAAAATGTCATACTTAACTGACAGCTTGTTGTGCTGAGCAGAACTTATCGATGGTGTTACGGTTATACTTCTATAAATAGGAAATTTTGTAATTGTCCAAATGGAAATGATTTCGAATAAAAAGCGAAGAAAATTAATGAGAATTCTACCAGTGTTTATTGCAGTCGACGAAATTAAATTCCCCCATTTGTATTGGTAATTTTATTATGGTTACCTTTTTGCGTATTAGTACAGGCTGAAGTTCGAACTTTCTACCATTCGTTGACATGTGTCATTATTTAAATAAAAATAAGTAATGGTGCTCTAGAAGGGAGTGCTCGACTTGTAACTACCGTGAACCCTATGCAGAGCAGAAAACTTTAAATTTCTGCTTAAAGAAAAACAAACTCAAAATAACGATTATTATCGATAGTAATGATAACTTATCGAAAAAAATAAACTCATACAGCGTATGGTATAGAGGAATATTGGGATTATACAATATAATTATCTAGGTTTGGTGGCAGTGAAGATCATTGCAGATCGCTAGATAGACTCAGCTTGTCGCCCTGATCAAGTATGTATAATTAATGGGCCTGTGCCACGCCTCCGACTGCCTGTTACATAAATTTACACAAAACCAATATGCCCTGAGATTCCATGTGTTCAGGGTATAAGCAGAATTATAGCTAACAATTGTAAATCCAAATGAAGTTTAATCAACGTAAAAGTACACATTGTTAATATTGGAGCCTTATCGATTTTCGTGCGAATAGCATTGAAGCAGGAAATCGCATCGAATCGATTAACAAGCGAATAAATACATCTTTGAGTTGCCAATCAGCTATTGTAAAGCGGACTTAGAGAGGGGCAATCTTATGCTTTGGCGTGCAAGTAAACATTTTGCCAGCCAATCATTTTGATTTTGATATTCATTTTGCTTTTTTGACGTTCGCCTGATTCCTTGGAGAGTACGTGAGCGCCATATACATGTATGAATTTTCCTAGCAATTGGCTGGAAAATTCGAAAGCGTTCAGCTCAAAAGGTGCGTAGCGCATATTTATGCTTATGCAAATATGTTCACACATAGATGCGTATGTATATGCTTGTTAAGTACTACTATATGCAAAGGCATCCATTTTGGCGGGTCCCTTCAGCCTGTAGTCAAAGGAACAGCTAATAAAAACACTTTTTGATATCCTGTGCGCACATAAGCGAAATATTTAATATACAAATATATTTGTGCCCACGTATATGCTTTCCGCACAGGTGTTTAAAACAGTTCTTGGAGCTGACGAGTTGATGAAGTTTCGATTCCAGTGAGCCGAGTAGTTAAACTGAATGTTCCATTGACAAATGACTTGTTTGAAGAACAAATTGTTTTTCAGTTGCTTGACTAAAGCATATGCTTTGCCCAAGTCGAAGGTCTCGAGATGAACCATAGACCAGATATTTCTATTATACACAACTCAATGAACTCGTAAAACCTCTTCAAGACAATCTAAAGAATTCTGTTTTGACAGTTGACCAGATAATATGTCAACTAGTTCCCTTTGTTAAAACAATTGTTCAGTAAAGCTTTCGTTTTATAATAGTTTGTTTTAGAAATATTTTTATATTTAAATATCAAATTTATTTATATTAAATTTAAGCTTAGTTCTCAGTTAGAAGCACAATGAGTGGGGTAAGTTGAATGGTAATAAATAATTGAAATTTGACAATGTCTATGATTTAGTCAGGATTATAAGCCAGGCATGCTACCATACCCAGAACAGAACCAGTGTAAATTGTTCTGGAAGTTTCATTACAAAGGAGTCTTAATGATTCTCATACCTATTTTATTTGCTCCGATTCTAATTGGTTGGCATATAGCGGTAAATTGTGAAATAGTTTAATCTTACAGTTCACATTGATTATATTGTTTTTCCCCCTTATTTTTCTTAGGCTTATCGCCTGATATACGTTGGGTTGTGCATATATCTATATTATATACTCAATGTCATCCCGGTGGGCATAATTGCTTTTCTACTTATTATCTTTTTACCGCTCTTGGGGATTTCGGTAAGTGAGTCTCGTAACAAAGAGAATGCTCGTTTTGAGAAGAACTTCCCTTACAGGATTCGAACGCTGTGTCCATGAGCTACTATGCGGATTTATTATTTACCACATATGGCAGCATATTTATGGGTCTGATGATGGACGCTGCAAAGCTGAGCGATCGATTGGCTTTGATCGTAATCAGCTGCTGTGGCACAAACATAAGAGTGTAAGCCTTCAGTTCAGTAATCAACTGATTAGTGTTACTCATAGCTAAACGACACGCACTGATTAGTGTATATGTAGAAACAAATATAGTTGCTATTGCTATCAGTCATAGACCAGCTAACTTAAAATACATGCCTCAACGCCGTTTGTTCCGTTTCGTATGATTGAGAGAGTGTCATGAGTTTTCAATGCTTTTTGTTTATCATGAAATAGCTATCTCAGGGAAAGTATAAAACGAACGCATACGTAAATATATGCGAGAGTGGTCTAAAATCCATAGAGAGGCATTTGACTTTTAACATTTACCAAGTTTCATATAATTTACAGCTCTATCAGGGAGAGAAGCAATTCTTTAGCTGTCAAAAGTTATTTGACTCCCAGCTTAAATAAAGAAGTATTATTATTAATGATTGATCAGAAGAGTGTAAATTATATTTTTAGAAACCTTAGGCGATGACCTCTTTTAGCTTCCTGAGTACAAATATTATAGCTAATAATAATTAAATTTATTTTTTTTCTGTGATTCTTAATTTCTCAGACAACCCTCGTTAAATACACATTTATCATGAGTTGAGCAAAAACATTTTGATAAATGTGCATACGCTTCTTCGGCTAAAAGTCCACATAAATGGATCGGGCTAGCAAGCAGACAATAAAGAATTTATTAATAAATATAGCCATCAATTAGATGTATATATAATTTATATAATAATTATTATATATTAAATTACTGTCAATGAAAATAGTTTTATAGCTGTCGCTTATTGAAAATGTGAGCTCAGTTGAATTTGAATAAATTTAGCCATGTTCATGCAGCGATCTCTCTTGAGCCACAAACCGAAGATTCCGGGTATTCCCAAGTCGGGCAGTTCCGACTATACCACTCTTGTAGGCTTCCGCCCAGTTCAGTTTCGTTAAATGATAGTTTCATTGCAGTCTTCAGGCGTTTTTCATGATCATGACCTGCTTGTCGAGCGTATTATTTTGCAGTACATTTATGTGTGCGTTTTGGATGAAAATTGCGCAGGCTTTATTGAAGGAATTTGCGGACGTAAGTATGGATGCCATATCTTAAAGAGCTTTTATTTTGTAGCTCAATTGCTTTGCAGTCCGGCATATTGAAGATAGATTCGGATGAGGAGACATATGAACGGCAGGCGTAAGTTGTTGAAGAGACTTTGATAATTTGTTGTTAATTTTACTTAAATTTGTCGTTGTTCAGAGCGCCATATCCTACGAAGCCAGTAGTTGGCATTTATCTAACAATTGCCTATTCGGCCACGTTGGGTGCCATGGCATCGCCATTTCAGGATCCCAATAGCACGATCAATTTTTATTTAATGTCGTGAGTAGATCGATTGGCATTCAATAAATGCATTTCAATAAGATCGATTTTTTCTCAAGGTCCATGACTATAAGGACAGCCGCATTTTTGCTACTCTTCATTTGTCCAATGATTATAGGACTGGCTGTCGTTGCAATTTGGATTAATTTAATATTCCTTGGCGCGCCGAAGGATGATCTGAGTGAAATGGCCGCTGCCAAGAAAACCATGAAACAGGCCATGACGGACAAGAAGCTGAGCATGGGTAAATGGTCGGTTCATTCCATATTGGCTGTAATTTTCATTTTTTTGACAATGATTCTATTGCTGTTGCGAGACCCGCCATACTTTGATAAGTTTCAAGGCTGGGACGGCTTTATCGATACTCAAAACCTCTCCTCGGTGCCCATCATATTAATGTGCGTGTTGTACATAGCTGTCCCGGCTAATTATATGTTCTGTAGCTACTATTGCTGCCGGCAGCCAGAGAAGAAAGGCACTGCGCCCAGCATGGTGGGCTGGAGGCTTTTAAATAATAATACGCCATGGGCACAAATGCTTATGCTGGCCGCCGCCAATGCCTTAATGTTTGCGTATGATGACTCGAAGCTAATGAAGCTAACACACGACTGGATTGCTCATCAAGAATTTTCAAAGACGGAATCTCTATTTGTCGGATCTCTGCTGGCCAGCTGTCTCACTAACCTAAGTCCAGCGATATCTGTGATACGCCATACCCTATTGCCCATCACGACGACGGTAGGTGTTTTCCTTTCGTAACCTGTCAGCTTACTATCTATACATCTTGCATAGAGCAACTCAATGAAAATTGGTACTGGAGGCCTGGTGGTTCCATATGCCACCGCCATTCACAATCAATTTCTGCTGCCGGTCAGCACCTCGTCAAACACAATTGTCTCAGGATGGGGCAACGTTCGTCCGTATCAGTTTGTGAGTTATCGCAAAAAGTTTTGCCTATACCCTGAACCCCATTGTAGAGTAATCATAATTTGTATTGGGTTCAGGGTATCTGCTAGTCGGGCATGCCTACATAGAGCACGTTTACTTATTTATTTTCTTGCTCTACAGCTTCTGGGTGGCATTGTGCCAACGATTGTTATGCTGCTAGCCATTGAACTTAGTACTTATATGTTGGGCGGCACGGTCTTTGAAGGATATTAAGCCGACTGATCGCTTGAGGTGTGTTCAGTGAGAAAATGTACACAAAAGTAAGAGTCCTGTGCAACAGTAGTGGAAAACTGGTGCATTGATTTAAGCGCTCGCCGCACTTGCACAACTGGTCACAGCCGTTAGTAGATAGAGAGACAGATAGAGGGAGAGAGCATATATCAATCCAAATGTTTGTGGTGCCCTTGTTGCCTTTGGCGTGTTCGCAATTTTCCGCCATATGTTATAAATTCTCATATGAAGCATGCAATTTTTCGAGTGGAGTGGTAAAGTTAAAGCGCATTGTGCCGCATGTCGAGGAAAAACAGTCGTAAAGCTGAGCAAATCTGATGCGACTCACTCGAAAGACAGACAGGTAGTCAGAAAAACAGAAGTGGAGTACGTATATATATATATAAATATATATATATATTTATATGCATATACATAGTTATATATATATTTTGGATATGAAGCCACTGCGACACAGGTGTGCTTCCGACCCAAAAAACTTCCACAGTGGAGACCTAACTGTTAAGGCTGTTTCGTAGACTTCAAAAATTGTACGGAAATTAAAAATTTTAAATTAGTGATAAACCGGCAAAGCTTAAGGATTATCTTACAAAAGACATGAGTAAATATATTCGAAAACGCTCTAAAAAAAGTAACAAAAATTAAGAAGTAAAACGTATGTTTCCTAGACTTCAAAAATTTTACGGAAATTAAAAATTTAAAATTAGTGATAAACCGGCAAAGCTTAAGGATTATCTTACAAAAGACATGAGTAAATATATTCGAAAAAAAAGTAACAAAAATTAAGAAGTAAAACGTATACTAAAAAATAAAAAAATTAAATAAATAAAAATGATAATAATTCAAAAGAAATGCATTTCCTTGACACAAATCTTAAATTTTCGGAAGTGCAAGAACTCGCAATTTAAAATATGGTAGCCAGGACTTTAGGGCGAAAGTTTATTCAGCTGGACGGACAGATTTGGATGTTGAGCGCTTTTAGCCAAATTACATAGTTTCGCATTTAGGGTAATTCCCCGCGTGGACACAGTTCGCACCTAATTCGCATTGCTGTGCAAATGCGAAGCCTTGCTCCACCGAAAGTGTTAGCACTAAATAATTCATTTGTTAATTTAGACATGTCCAGCGGTGCAGAGTGGTGCATGAAGGTGCCGAAGGGTGATGTGCCAACACGGAGAGTGTGCTCTGTGTACTTTAGGCTTACTGGCGCCTAGACACGGCCAGAGCAAACCTCCCGCCGACCGACCGACCGACAGACCGACAGACTGGCTAGCTGGCTAGCTGGCTGCCTCTGTGAACTCTGTTGGCCATTTGTGGTCGCATTTATATTCAAGCTATTCAATTATTAAATTCGTCGCGCAGCACTTCATGAATATTCATGGCCCTCACGACAATCGAAAATTTGCCTTTTAATTGTTTTGTTTTGTTTGGCTTTGCTGTTTTTGCCTGCAGCTAACGGTCAACAGGTCATCCAAAAATGTATTCTGTTCACATTATTTGAATTTTTCAATTGCATTTTTGAGTGCATTCCCCTGTCGATTTACTCAGATATTATACAAAATGTGCATAACTATATAGATATTCATTTATTTATATATCATTTAAATGATTGTAATAACTACTTTGGACCATTTGTTATGACAGTTTATGCAGCTGGTTTTCTAGTTATTTAATTTAAACATAGTTTTTCGAAAATATATCTATTTGTATATATTTGTAAATATCTTTTGTACTTGGAATAAATTCGGTTGAATAATAGAAACGAAGAGCTTAACTTTTTTATATGAAAAGTAGTTTCATGTGTGATGCTTCTTTGAAGCATTTCTAAATTATATAAAAAAGAATTATGAAAATGAGCATTTATGTAAATAAACTTACAATTTTCTTTTATTTTTATTTTGATTTTTAAAATTCAAAAATGTGTAAAAATTGTTTCTTTTAAAGTTACATGTATCTAAATCATAATTGTACAGTTAAATATTTTCTTTCATATCAATTAAGCAAGTTCTTTTGGTTAGAAAATTTAATGACATTAATGCTTAAATATGATTATTAAGCCCAAGTACGCAAAAAGCAACGATCAACTGTTAAGCAAAAGAGTTTTGTCAACTCCAAGCTGTAAATCTCTAAAAAATACTAGTTCAAATATATTATGTATAGCTTCATTATACGGACACACAGACGGACAGGGCTCAATTGACTCGGCTTGTCGTCTTGATCAACAATTTATGGGGTCTGCTACGCCTCCTTCTGTCTGTTAAATACATTTCAACAAAATCCTTATACTCTGCTTTCCCGTTTTCAATGGGTTCAGGGTCTCAAAACACATTCTATTCACATATATATGAAGTATATATGTATAGCATATACATTACTGATCCGTTGACAAATTGTGTGCATATATCCAGCTTTACCTGCTCGCCTTTCCTTTTGCTTCCAACATAATTCAAAATAAGTGTAAATTGTCACTCAAAAAGTGCTCAGCAGCTCTGCTGGCGTTGACTTTTGAGTGACTTTTGGGTATAAAAGGGCGCAGCAGCTGCGTGGGCGATCAGTCAAGTGCCAGACCTGGACTGGGTCAGTCGCTGTGCAGTGCAAGTGGTGAATAAATTTAAGTTTTTTTTTTTGTTAAATTGTTTAATTTTAAGAAATTGTATTAGTTTAAATAAATATATTTAAGGATTTTTTGTTAATAAATAATTAAATATATATTTAAGTTTTTCTTGTCATTGAACATTGTTTATATGTATAATTAGTATTTAATTGTTTAATTGTTAAAAACATATAATTGTTAGTGTTTAAGTTAGTTTTACTTGTTATTAATAAACACTAAATGTTATTATAATAATGAAGTTAGTAATAATGTTCATGAGCCATTATGATCATTATGACGTCATTTATGTACATAATTATTACTGGTAATAATCATTAACGATAATGATCATTAACGCTGATGCTAATTAAGATTCAAATACTCACCTTGTTCTCTTTAAAAATGCTAATGACTAAGCTTACTATTATATATATTTACTAAACTAAATAATCTTTAAGAGAATTTTATTTTATTTAGCTCCTCTGATATAGTTAAATTATTTGTAAAGTGTTTGTCATGGGCAAGGAATCTCTACTCTTAATTTTCATTTTTATAACATATTTTTGCACATAATATTAAATATTTATAAAAACGAATACATGTACATATATTTATATTTAAAAACATGTATAGAGAGTGTATTGTATATACATTTATTTAATATACTAAGTAACCATAAGAATAACACTGACAAATGTTTGCTAAATATTCTATGTATTATAAAATGAATGTTGTCTTATATATATTTTATTTTTTCGCTGTATATTTTTTTTGTATTTTTTTTTTCACAGCAGAATCTATATTAATAAGAAAAACTCACCTGAGCACTGGTGCTCCATGGCAATATAGTTACATAAAAGGCATGAATATTTGTAAGAGGAGTATTAAAAGAGTATTAAATAAAATGCATCGCTTTTCGGAAGGATTATCAATTCAGCATAGATCGCTTCAGCTCGAAAAATAGCTCTAAATACGTTTTATATGCTAAAACTTTAAATCTTTTCTCTTTTGAATTACATAAATATGGAATGTGAAAAAAAATAATATAAGTTAAGTTACAGCATTTTGCCGTTTAACAAAATATTTTCACAGCTTAAACTGCGCTTTTATAATCTTGTTATCGTGTTATGATTGCTCAACAGATTAAGCACCCATATTTCGTTAAACAATATTATATGTATAACAAAATGCACTTGAGCCAGCAATATTTGCTCATATTTACCTTGAACGATATTATTCAAAAAAATTAAAAACCATTCAAGCATCATTTTAGGGGCAAATTTAAAATTCTAATAAGCTCAAAATATTTATCTTTTTTTTTTGCGAAATTTCAAATTCAAATTATCCTGCTAAGACGCTGCCATAAGCTGTGCCATTTTTTCATCAACGGCCGGGCGCTTTAAACAAAATATAAAAAGAAGAAAATCAATTCACCCACCAATTGTCAATTTCAGCCAGCCAAAGAGGACGAGAGAAGAGGGAAACGTAGGTATAGATATAGCTATATAATATATATTCAAATGTTATGCAGAGCCTAAGCTGATTTTCCAGCACTGGGCTCATTATCCCTTTTGACATCTGCGCAGAATTCGACGAAAAATTGTATTCTATACAGGTATTTGGTTACATTGAGAAAATGCGCTCAGCTGTAGCTGTGTGAGTGTGCGTGTGTGCGCCGGCATGAAATTTAATTTGTGGCCTGCCATTAAACGATGTCGGCTTAGCCTGGCTTCGCTACCATCAGCCCCAACCAGGCAGTCCGCTCTTTGTTCTTGCCTTTGACTTAGCAGCAAAATCATTTGCAAACAATTAATTCAGCTGCTCTACAACGAAATGCACTTGCGCGCCCCAGTTGAGTTGTGAGCAGGAGTGTCTGTCTGTCTGCGGGTGTGCCTCCTGTCTGACTGTGTGTGTGTGTGTGTGCGTCACATAAAAGATGCCATTCAAAAAACGACACATGTTGTTGCCATGGCTCCAGCATGTCAGCTCTATTAAATGTACTAATGACTGACAGACAGCCAAAGCCGAGCTGGGAGCCATGAAACGAGCAGCTCGACATTTAACAGGCAAACTAGGTAGAGCTGCGCTGGATTTTAGACACTGGCTTCAACAAATGGCACACAAAACTCTTCTCACAGCAATTTCCAAATTGAAATGGCACCAGGGTTGCTTGCCGTACGTGACTAGCAGATATCCTGTAATTTAAAAAAAAAAAGTTTACGAATAAATGTTAATTACTTTACTTGGTAGGCAGCAGCTGAGAGTCTTTGCTTTAGAATGCGTTGGTGTTTGTTCATTTTGTTTGATACTCTTCGCATTTACTGAGCATGCAAAACAGCATTTATATGTTTGATTATACCAATTAAAATTTGGCCTTGACTTTGCTGCTTTGCTCTGCTTGGGCGCATTGAAGAAACTAAGAAACATCTGCTTAAGTTCTGTGGGCTCTGTAAGTTCTGCTTCTGTAAGTTAAGGTCTCTACACTTGACCACACCAGAACTGAGTAGCAAACTAACTCGGTTAAAACCTTCAACTCTGACAAAGCTTTCAGCCTTACATCAGCACTACTGCAACAGCAATCAGGAATTGGGTAACAGATTCTGTTTTTAATCTTACCATCGCGATACGTCTACTATTTTTATGAACAACTACATTTAGTTAATTTTTCTTTCTCAAGCCTGCACACGTTCCTAAGTTCATAAAAAATCATCTAAATTTATAAAAACTATTTTAGCCTTAATATTCATTGCAAATCGTTTTAAAAATAGTGTGTAAGTCGCACTACTATTT